AACTGCGCTCGTACGAATTAATTCGGAGCCTTATGTCTTACTCGCGCGCTTGGACGACAAAACTAACCGCTTTATTCCAAGCCGGCCGTAACGCACGGAATCGCCGAAAAAGTTTCGCGAACGTTTTCGTAAATTTCGGGCAGCCGGCAGCCGGTGTGAGATATGTCTCCTTTGTCGTACCTACGAGCAGCTTTAATTTCGTTAAGAGCACTCGCGAGGCAGCTCGATAAATTCCTGCGGCACCCTGTAAACTTTTAAAGTGAATTTTTGGGGTCTGACCCTATCGTGGATCAGGCGGCAGCTGATGTGGAGCGCCGCGAAAACACGCTCTCTCTCTTTTTTTTTCTCTCGTTTTTCGTTTCTTGCCTCGGTCGCCCGATGCCTTTTTTTTCCCAGCGAAAATAGAGAAGATTTGGTCACGTGCGAAACGTCGATCAGCCCGTCACGCCAGAAGGGCGATGAGACATGAAAATTGGCCCGTGACTACTTATATAGGAATGCCGCGCGAGTGGCGCACGATCCGTTTTTAGACATTGCTTTGAGAAAATGTAATTCTTTTTTCTGGCTTCGAGTAACAGAAACGTACCGACGAAAATTGCACGACCGAGTAAGGTCTACGTGGCGTTGAGCTGAATCGCGCGGGAGAAGTGACAAACTTCCGTTTCGCGGAGGTGTCGGTTTCTCCGCTTTCTCGCGTGTACGAAACTATAAAACGGTGAAATGCGAGCGAAAATGAAGAGAGACGGGGGAGCGTACGCCGCTGCCACTTCGATGAGATCGTTAAAATTAACGAGCCCCGGAAATGCATTCGCGCGCGCTTCTCTTTTTTTTCTCGGGCGGCCATTCGTACGGCATTTTTTCGGCGCGAAGACGCTTTCGAGACGCGTTTCCGCGCGTCGAGAGCGGCGAGGTGGCAGAGGCGGCTCTCGTGACGTCGAGACTGGTAATCGGCGTTTTCGCAGATAAATACAATGTAACGTTTCGCGCCGATGACATGCAACTTTACGCGAATGCACAGGTAAAGACGCGAATGTGTGTGCGAATAACGTGACATCAAAACGCTGGATGTGCATCGTCACTGTGAACGTTAATTCGTTGCAACATCCAGGTATGCATCAGCGTCAGATGCAGCGGCGTAACGCGTTTCCTGCAACAAAGTATTCACATCCCGCGGAATACCTTGAAACTATTTGCCGCGAGGGAGAGGGAGTTTACGTAATACGCGGAGGACTACTGACGGATTATAAAGCGGCATTAAGGTTTAATAATCCGCACGCAACCTCCTTGAAATGCAATTCGCGTTCGCGGATACGTTCAGCGGAAAAATTTTTTTACAACTGGCACGTGCACAAGCGACAGAATATAAAAAAAAATATGTGTGTGTATGTCGTTCGTGAAAAAAACATTTAATCGGAGTACTCATTACGCCCGCAATGCCGAGATAAACGTTTCAGGTACGATAAACAATCAACTCTCGCGTCAGTTTGTATTGTGTGTACGATAAGTAATATGTGCATATTAAAATAGAAGAACATTAACACGGGAACTATATAACGTGCAAATGATAAAAATTTATAGTTATTCGAAATTCCATACTCGTGAAATTTCCGACTTTATTCTTAGCGTTATTGCAATACCAATAATTTTATTATTGCAAAAGAAATCGATCGAGCATATCTACCCCACCGAATCACACTCCCGGATTCGATCCGCGTGTCCTGTGCGTGACCAACTGATTTTTATCATCGCCAATTTTTTACGATACTTGTAGACACGGTCAGACCAGGCCTCTCGAAAAGCTAACGACCCGTGCACGTAAAAAATGAGCCCGTTGCCCACACGCTGTCCGGATCCCCACGAATTAGGGTGCATGCGGTCGAGGAAAATGTATGTGCATGTGCGAAGGTAGATACGTCAGGTCGCAAGGATGACGAATACGATCGTATTACGGGAAAGAGGACCGCCTTTATCGTCGTATTACATGCTCGTATGTAATTCGTCCACGAATTCTGCCTGCCGATTCGGCAGTGCTCCTGAAAAACACCTGAATGGCTTATGTATCTTTCCTTCACCAAGCTTACGCTAAAGAACAACAAGGAAATTATGGCGGCAAATGCTGCACGATTGTCAGCAATGGCCTATCGTGAACTTGAGTTTTCTTTACGGGGAAACAGAGAAAGAGAGGAGAGAAAATTGAATATTTATAGATTAAAGAGAGAACGGAATTGCATGAAATGGCGAAATGTGTGTAAGGCTCAGAGTGTATCTACGGATATTATGGATGTATCAGGGATTCTAATGATAGTTAGAAGTCGCGTATTCGAAAGCGTAGAGTGGAATAACCGATAAGTCCCAAAGGCAATCTAATCGTCATCGAATGGGAGAAGGAAGTCGCGATTCCACCGTTAAAGACCGCCGTTTCTTTTTGCGATTTGACATAAAGCAGCTGGCATTGTGTGCTCCTACAGCTAAAAGCATTCCACGAGGGCGAAATGCGCGAAAAGGAAGCGCCGTTGTATGTAGGTTAAAATCTGTTGATGTACAGCTCACACGTGGGTCACACCTTTTCCTTCGACCACGTAGGTTCCTCGTTCTCTCTCTCTCTCTCTCTCTCTCTCTCTCTCTCTCTCTCT